AGATTAAGTACAAAATGAACAAAATTAAAATTTGCAGGAGAAATCAATGAAATTGAAAATAGATAATCATGAAAGAAAAGCCAAGGGAAAAAGCTGTTATGTGTACAACTAAAAGAGAAAAGGGCATGAATTATTATCTGAAATGAAAGGCTGCTGCCACAGATTCCTATAGCTATTAAAATATATAAAAGGAATATAAGGAACCCCTCCACCCATAAATTTGATGACCCAAATGAAATATTTCCCATGACCATACATACAAAAATCCTCAAAGACGTAAACTGATGAATTTGAAAGACACAGTCTGGCAAACTTACACATGGAGAAAGGCAAGGTGAGGAGCTAACCCACTAACTAAGAACCTGAGGCAGAAAGCTCCAGGCGAGGACAGGCTCGCCGGGAAACAGCCTCGTAAGGGAAAAATTAAAGCAGGCCTATCGTTTCTTTCAAAAAAACACAAATAACTCATTCTCAAAGGGCAGCCTCGCCAAATAAGTGAAAGTTCAAGAGGGAAAACTACACACTAACATTTCACATAAACATATATACAAAAACTCTCAAAAAAAAAAAAAAAAGAATTGAGCAAATACAATACATAGGAAGACTTTATCAAGTACTTTATCAAGTACACAGGCCCCTCTATTTATCAGGACTACATTTCATCAAATTTTATCTGTGTTTTTTATTTTCTATATTCTATATTTTCTTTGTTCTGTATTTCCTAATTTCTCTACAGCTAATATTATGCCTAACAGGGAGAAGCTTAAACCTCTTAAACTAAAGCCACAAACAGGCAGGGGCGTTCCTGCTCGCTGTGCACTACATGGCGTTGCTGATGAATTAGTAAAACAAGAAAAGGAAGTAAATGGATCAGAAAACCAGAAATACAACTTCCTTCCATGGCACCACGTAATCTATATAGAAAAACTGAAAGAATGTGTCCCATGGCACTAGCTTGTGATTATTGAAAGGCATGAATCTGATACCTTATTACCTGTTGTACTTCCATAACCGAGCCAGTCATGAACTTCTACTATATTCATTTACATATATTTTCATTCATGTCTTGTTTTCTTTTTTTTCTTGGTTCCAGATATCAAACTCAGGACCCCATGCTTGCCAGGCAGGTGTCGTGCCACTGAGCTAGATCCCTGGCCCCTTGATATCCTAAAAGAATAGAATTCGGGTAAAGGAACCTCAAGAACACAACCTGACTCTTCCTAACTTCTGCTAAATCCCCTTTTTCCCAGAAATTTTCCTTTTTTAATGGATCTCAAAGCTACAGGGTTTAATTAAAAATCTTGTTCAGACCCTTCGGGGGTATTAATCATGGGGTCTGGGCTTGTTTACTTCATTTATTTGTACCATTGTTTACAAACTCATCCATTGAATCATTAAAAATAAAATCATCTGATAAAAACGTAGTAACTATGACCCCGCCAAACTCTGCAAAGCTGGTAGACTGTCTTCTCTTTCACGAGGAAATTTCAAGCAAATGTGTGGTGCCAAGGCGAAGCGGAATGGTGCGTCTGAAGGCGCAGCCGTGTGCCCCTGGAGCGCAGCAGCTCTGCCCGAGCTCCTGAGGGAGTCCTGCCCGCTAGGACGCACCTTGATGTGCGGGCGTCCTGGCATACTTCTCTAAAATAATAACAAGCAGGGACAAATTTCCCAGATCAGAACATAAGTGTTGACGATTATTTACATTTGCTCCCACGCTCTTTATCCACAGAAGTAACAGCTACAATTTTCACAACTGGAGAATAATTAAATACGTTGTGTGGAATAAATGCAGATTTAAAAAAAAACAGCCTGCACCAAAGCCCTTCAGGGGAGACCTTGAGGGCCGGCCAGGCTAAGCAGAAGGCTCCATTCACTCTACCTTTTCATTAGGGGCCCGCAAATGTCCTGGAACACCTGAACTGACTTATCTGGCATGTACAGGGACTACCAAAGGACCATTACAAGAGCCTATTTATGTCTTCTCTACCAACATGGGGGAAAACACAATATTTTTCTACTAATGAGTATCATTTATATATAGATGTTTAAGTAAACTGTTTTCCCACTGGGGACTGGACCCAGGGCATTAAATTGAGCTATACCCCAAGTCCCTCTCTTTGAGTCGACCAGTTATCCAGGCTGGGAATGGATCCTCCTGCTTCAGACCACAGCCTGAGCACAGGCGCCACCACACACGCTCTATTGCCAATAATCCATGCTAGGACAATGTTTTTACCTTTCATTCACTGTTTCATGGATTCATCTATTTCCAGTAGTTACCGACAATGTGAGCAGCTACTTGTCAAGAGAAAACACAACACATTCAACCCATCAGCAGCACAAGATCGCAATACAATTGGATACTACAATTTGTGCAGATCTGCCTCGTAGTGGGAAGAGGAAGACCCTTGTGTTTCTTCTGGCTTTTGAGTTTTCTCATCCAAATCTCAGTAAGGTAGGATAAATAATCTACGTGGTACGTAACACATGCTGCTTATTGACCCACACTTTACCCCTCTGGTCTCAAAGAGGGGCAGTGATGCCCCTCCCCATGACATCTTCCTATGTCTAGAGACAGTTTTTATTGTCATAACTGAGGGTGGGGCTCAAACAGGCATCTACTGAGTGGAGGCTGGAGAACCTACTAAATAAGTATCAAGCCTAAAATATCAATAACGCTGGTATTGGAAAGCCCTGGCTGCTTTGGCCTCTTCAAAATAACTGGCTGAGAGCTGAGAGCTTTTATAAACACTTACATCATCATGTTCATCGGGAAGCCTGTAAGTGCCTCAGAAATCTGAATGAGGGGGCCAGCGGCACTGGTCAGCGCTAGAGCACAGGGTCCCAAGCTCAGTCCCAGCAGAGACAGAGAGACGGGCGGGCGGGGGAGAGATGGGGAGAAAGAAGGGGGAGGAGGGAGGCCGGGGAGGGACTGAGGGTTGGAGAGACAGAGACAGCGAGATGGGACAGAGAGGAAGGGAGGGAGGGAGGGAAAGAAGGAGGGAGGGAGGGGGAGAGACAGACAGGGAGACACAGATGGAGAGACAGAGAGGAGAGACAGAGAGACAGAGACAGAATGGGAGGGAGGGAAGGAAAGAAGGAGGGAGGGAGGGAGGGAAAGAAGGAGGGAGGGAGGGGGAGAGACAGACAGGGAGACACAGATGGAGAGACAGAGAGGAGAGACAGAGAGACAGAGACAGAATGGGAGGGAGGGAGGGACAGAGAGGGAAAACCAGGAAGAAAAGCTCCAGATCTGATCAGCACGTGACAAGCCCACCTAACCATGAAGGACGGCCACATTAATTTCTTAGTGCTCATCTCTGCCTGTTCTTCCCCAAGTGTGAGGTGTAACCAATGCGTGTTGGGAGCGACCACCCAGGGTGTCAGTGATGAGCAACAACACAGCCGGCCTTCGGGCACACGGGTGTCCCGTACGTGTTCACTCACTTACATCTCTGCTGTAAGATCGTTGACCCTCCCTAGGGGAATCATACACAATAGTGCGTGTGTGTGCATGTGCATGTGTGTGTGTGTGTGCATGTGCGTGTGTGATGGGAAATGGAACCTGGACGCTTTACAGTGAGCTAGTCCTTTTTTATTTTTTATTTGGAGACAGGCTTTTGCTAAATTGAAAAGTCACCAGGCTGGGCTTGAGATCCTGATCCTCCTGCCTCAGCCTCCCTCTGTGCTGGGATTACAGGTATGCACCACCACACCGGGCTCACAGTGGACCTCAGAGCTAAAGGGTTTAACCAAAATTGTTGACTCATACACCCCAGAACACCCATCATTGGTCAGAGACTGAGGTCATGGCCTTTGTAGAGTTGAGGCTGTGTCTCACACAGCCCAAGCAGGATTGATTCAGACTAGCAATCCTCCGGCCTCAGCCTCCCAGAGTGCTGAGATTATAGGCATGTGCCACCATGCCCCACTTTGGCTTGTCAATTTGTCACTGCACTCCTTGGCACACCAACAATAATAAAGCCAAAGTAGCTTAAGCACCAGCCTGTGACACTTAATTAATATTACTCTGATGTGTCTATAGCTCATTTCCCAAAAAACTGAGATGGTTTCGCAATGGGCCTGAGAGTGACACACAAACTGCTCAAGTTTCTTGCTTCACATCCACCCTATACTGCCGCTACCCTAAGGTGCTCCTTCTTTCCTTTAATCTTCCATATGTGAAGCTAGTGTGTGTGGTAGCCAGGCCCCAAGAAGGTGCAGGGATCTCAGACACCTGGCCTGCAAGCCCCAGGAGCCCTTAGCCCTCTGCCACAGCAGCGCTCTGCATGCCTGCCCCCCAGAACCCGTGAAGAATCACAGCCGTTTATGTATTACAAAGCTGACCACCAAGTTGCAGGGCAATTTGTCCCACGGTAACAGGAACCCAATCTGAGGCAGGCTGTCATCCCTTACACCAAGTATTTGGGACCAGAAGTCTTTCAAATTTAGGTTTCTCAAATTTTGGACTATTTGATATTTCTTAGGACTCAAGCCTAAACACAAAACTCCTTTCTATTTCATACACACCTTGCAAACATGGCAAGAAAGTGCTACAGGTTGGTGCAAAAATTTTTCAAATTTTTCTTAACTCAGCTGTGGGTATAGTGACTTGCACGAGCCCCACGTTCACACCCACTGGGGGCCACAGCCTGTCCTCTGTCCTGCCCATTCCCATCTTCAGAACACTCATGGTCTATACCTTCACCATGCCAGAAATGTTTAAATCAACAATGGTGCAGAATAAATTTTAACATTAAAAACCTCTAAAAATGCCTAAAAGCCCTGCATCATTGTAAACAGACTTAAACTGCTCCACTGCACTAAACCCAAACTTTGATTTCTTCCCCACACTGCCGGTTCCTGCCTGGGAGCCTTTTACCTTATTTGTATACCTGGCCACTTACTCCTTCGACACACTGTAGCGATTGGCAAAGCCCCAGAACCAAGCACGCGCAACTTGACTGTTCTTAACAACAGCGCCTAAGCTGCTTCCCCACAGAGGTCAATGTGAACGCCTTTGTTATTATGGGATAATCGCGTTCGCTGCGGTGTTTTTGTTCTATGAAGTAAAATGCACATTTTATAAAGAACAGCACAGCCTTAACTTCTTTTAATAGGCTTGAGTCATGAGGGATTAGATTAATCATAAACTTAGCTCCTATCACATACTCATCACTGACTCCAGAATAACTCGGCTTTTACGCACTGATTTATTTACTGCTTAATTTTTAATATAATGAACACTTAAATCTATCACCCAGTATAGGAGAAATAAATGAAACTATTACATCCATCTCTGTGCGCTCGCACCACACCGACACCCTAACCTCATCAATCTATTTCAGGAGACCAAATTGTTGGTTGCGGAGAGCGCCCCGTGATGCACAAATCCACAATTCACCCTCATCTAGGCAGCAACTGACTCACTGGTGATTTTTATTACTCAGGGAATCATTTGACTCGCTTCATGTTTTACAAAAAAACAATCAAGCCCACCAGGAATTGGGATTGACGTACAGTTTCTTGCCACTCCTGCTATACATCTTGTCCAAAATAGGATGAGCCTAGATTTATTTTGTCTTCATCAAAAATGTAGATTAATCATACCTTCATTTCATGACAGCTGCTCTTTAGCAACCCACAACTGGCAGAGATGAACTCACACATTCCCTTTATCAATACATCAAGATGAATAAAAGGCAAGACAATGGACAGGAACACCAACTAATAATAACAGCACCTGCATCTGCATCTGCATCTATCTCTAGCTCTGTCCCTCTGTCTATCCCTATCTCTGTCTGCCTGTCTGTATCTCAGTCTCTCTCTCTCTCTCTCTCTCTCTCTCTCTCTGTCTCTCTAT